ATATATATATATATATATATATATATATATAAAGGGAGATATATTATAAAGTATATATAAATAGAAAAAAAAAATTTAAATGAATGGATGAATAAACTGGTGGAACAATCCAGAATTCGGGTACCTTATGCAAGGCATATTATATGTGTGTAAATCACAAATTATTTTATAATGATATGTTTCAGAAAGTGGTTGTAGTGCACATGAAATTTCAATGGGTATTAGTTAACTGCCTGAGAATGGAAAGTAAGAGCTAAGAAGAGGAGAGGGTCCCACGGTTGGCAAAGCAACAATCTCTCTCTCTCTCTCTCTCTCAATTAAAGTCTCCGTGAATATTTTAGGACAAGATTCCATGCCCATCAATTGCTCTTATAAAAAGCCAATATGCTTGTGCGCTTGTTTGGCATAATTAACATATATACCAAGAGAAGAAGGAGAAGAAGAGATCAGAAAGAAAAAAAACAAAAAGAAACAAGAAAGAAGCTGCTATATATTACAAGTCGTCCAGTACTACTAGTAGCTAGTAGAAGAAAGTAGCAAATGAGTTTGCAGATATCTGAATCCTAGTTACTGAAATTCGTCGACGCAACTTATAAACAAACAAACAAACAAACATCAGGTAATTAAGCTTGAAGAACATTGAACATGCAGCTATCTTCATCGAGGATGGCTACCAGTATTCCTCCGGAAAGGCATTTGTTTCTGCAAGGCGGAAATGGTCCCAGGGACTCAGGACTAGTCCTTTCCACCGATGCCAAGCCCCGCCTCAAGTGGACGCCAGATCTCCATGAACACTTCGTCGAGGCAGTCAATCAACTCGGAGGAGCAGACAGTGAGTCTTTTTTTTTGTTTCTTTTTTTTTTTTTGGTTCCCTCCTGATCTAGAAGATCATAGTGCCAACATCATGTGATCATGTTCAAAGATAATTGGCCTGATTCCGAATTTCTATTCTTGCCAATGCAGAGGCTACTCCAAAAACGGTTATGAAACTTATGGGAATCCCGGGACTCACCTTGTACCACCTAAAGAGTCACCTTCAGGTAATAATTTGGTTCAAAGTTTCATTTTTTATATCCAATAATTAATTCTGTCCCCTTTCTGGTAGGATATATCTACTAGTATTTTGTATTTTTAACGTCAAATCAACCTCAAAATCACATCAGACTTAAACAGTATAAAGATCTAATTATTCATAAATGTGTAAGATCGAGATAGACTACTTTTTCTCATTCTTATACTACTAAATTATTCTTTTTTTTAATAGATAATAAAGAGAAATACTTAATTTGTTGGCGTATATATGCATGTATGCATTTGTCATAATAGGAAATTCCATCATAAATTATATCTATAAAATTTTTAATTGCACTACTTATTTGCCATGGATCTTTCTCCTTGCAGAAGTATAGGCTCAGTAAAAATCTTCATGGACAAGCTAACAGTGGGACAACCAAAATTGGTAAGCAGATAAATATTTGATCTTCATCAAAGATTATAGTTTTTAGCATAACTACTTTTATTTTAATTTATACAACTAATAATGGCCTTCATGTTTAATTAGGTACGGTAGGTGGTGTTGCTGCAGATAGAATATCAGAAGCGAGTGCGAATCAGTTGAACAATCTCAGCATTGGACCTCAAGCAAACAAGTAAGTATATACGCATAAATGGGTATGATTTTAATGGTTACTCTAATATTTATTCATCGGTGGATATTGTTCATTTAACCATGTAATATTAATAAGACAGTTGTAATAAATTAAATAGTTGATAAAAAAATATATAGTAATTAATGAAATTATATTCTTATACATCACATCATAAAATTTTTATATTTAATAGATAATCACTCATGAAAATGTAAACATTCAAAACTCGTCCATGCACATATATAAAGGTGTACATACATATATATATATATACATACATGCATGGCTCTTCGTGTTCATTATAATTTGTCATGTTGAAAAGTTGATTATGTAGTCCAAAATGAATTCCAATTTGTTTATTAATATTGCAGAGGCTTTCATATAAGCGAAACACTACAGATGCAAATTGAAGTTCAGAGAAGGCTTCACGAGCAGCTTGAGGTAAAAGGGAAAATATTGTTGCCACTTTTCTGTTTTGTTATACCATTTTGGAATTTGTAATTTCAGCATCTAAATGCCATTAACAATGTGCCTAATTAAGAGTTTAATCACTAGATGTGCGAAGATCAACATTAATTGTCATTTCCTAATTAATCATCCCATATATGTGTGTGTATATATATTCATAAACATAATCCTATATATATAGGACACTATTAACAACATTTTCGATTAGTAGTAAAGAACAATATGGATTTGTTGTTGTTCAGCTAATTAAAACAGTGTTTAAGATTGTAGGGTTAAGATTTAGAACCCTTAATTAAATCTGACAACATATATGTTTTTAAACTAAACCAGGTTCAACGACACTTGCAGCTCCGGATGGAGGCTCAAGGAAAATACCTGCAGGCGGTGCTGGAGAAAGCACAGGAGACGCTGGGGAGACAGAACTTGGGGGCAGTGGGACTTGAAGCGGCCAAAGTTCAACTCTCCGAACTGGTTTCAAAGGTATCGACTCAGTGCCTGAATTCTGCGTTCGCGGAGCTGAAAGAGGTGCAAGGGGGGTTATGCAGGCAACCGAATAGTAGTAACCAAACACAAGGAACAGTATTAATTAGGCAGCAGCAGCCCAACAACGACTGCTCGATGGACAGCTGCTTAACCTCCTGCGAAGGCTCACAGAAGGACCAAGAAATTGCGCATAACACGAGCAGTGGGATAGTGCAGTTGAGACCTTATAACAACGCTGCTACCACGAGTACTAGTAATGCATTCTTGGAGCCCAAATGGTGCAACGATGCCAAAGATAGCGTCATGTTTCTCTCGGAAACAAGAATGTTTCCCGTCGAAAGAAGCTCGAACACGGGGGGGTTATCAATAGGAATCGGGCTCGGAGGGGGAGAAAAGGGTGGCGACACCTCTACTTATTCCCAGGGAGTTAGGTTTAGAGGAACCGGGAGCTCGTGGGATGTGGATGAAGACTTTGTGGATCGAAACACAACTACTGCCAGCGCCAGATCGGCAGGATTTCATGACAAAGCTTCTGATCATCAAGCATGCAGAGTTGCTAATTATTTTGCGACAAATAAAGTGCTGGACCTGAACTCTCATGATCATGATCATCATGATCATGATCATGAAAATCAAAATGAAAATCATTCTTCATCAACCTGCTACAAACAGATTGACTTGAACGGCTTCGGCTGGAGCTGAGAGAGTGAGCTTAATTCGTTGGAGTTAGTTCCATGTGATTGCATTTCCCTGAAAAACATTGGAATTAATTATTTAGTAACGTAACTAAATATCAACGAACGATGATCTCCCTCAACTACTCTCATCATGATCAGGAATATGCCCAGGTGGGGCCCAATTTAAGGAAATATTGTAACGGATTATTCATTCTGAAATGGAATATTAAGGTTGCACCTTTGCAATTGCACGCACAAGAAATTAAGTTGAAGTGCGTGCACGTTGATTAATTAAGTTAAGTAGACAAACGCCATAGATCATATATAGATTAGACGAGGGAATTAAAGCACCTACTTAAATATCATCATTTCATGACATTGAGAATTCCAAGAGAATTCCAAGTACTGTTGCAATTCAGATTTAATGTCTTGTTCCAACTATAATAAACTAATAATAAAGTATGTTCAATACATCTTTTTCTTTTTTTCTTTTTCTTTCGGTGTTTTCTTACGGAAGAGAATCTTAACCGTGGATGCTTTAATTGTTAGGAAATTACGTTTCCTAATAATAATTGTGGACCACATATTTATAACAATTATATTGATGCTATTTAATTAATTAGGCTAATTAAGTAGTCTAATTGTGGAGAGCCCAAATAGTCTCCTAATTGGGTATGAGTTAAATGGGTGGATACCCAATATTGACCCAATTAGGTTTATAATGGGAGCCTAATGGGACAGTATATAAAGAAACTTATATTATGGTCCCCAATACGTCAAATCATTTGGCCGTTTTCCCTCTTCCCCATCTACAGAGAGAACACCCCATTCAAGAATCTGGTGATTTGACTGACGAAGATGATAACTCGACGTGCTCGTTATCTTAGAGATTTCTACTAGAGACTAAGGCTGCACCAATGGAGACAGGTATTTGTTCTAACCTATTTTCTTAGTAATTTAGTATGATGATTCTTGGAATGTGAAATAAGGATTAAAGACTAATAAATGGTATTAGAGCAGTGATCACATTAAATTATTGAGAGAATTTTCATCTCTAATATCTCCTGGTTGAATAATATGTTGATTGATTCATATGATTTTTCTTTTGTCTATGGAATTTTCGATATGCTTTATTTTGTTGAGTAAAACATGTATATTGATAATCATATGATTTTTTTGGTGATTGATTTTGATCAAAATTTGTTGAATAATTTTTGGATTTTCTAGAAATTTGGTAAAAAGGCTTTCTGGAATTTTTTTTTTTTGGAATAAAGATTGTGGACGGCGGCAGCCTTGGCCACCGGCACTGAGGAAACTAAGGCCTGGCCATTAGGCCGCGCCGACGGGCTAGCCGCGACGGGATAAAGAACAGCGGTGGCCAAGGCCGCCGCATAAGGAAAACTTGAAAAAAAAAATTCATGGCCGACAGCAGCATCTGCCGCCACCAGCACTGTGGACAACCAAGCAAGAAAATTACGTTCATAGACGATTATTCAAGATTTAGCTACCTATACTTAATACATGAGAAGTCCCAGTTAGTGGACGTTTTCAAGGAATTTAAAGCCGAAGTTGAACTTCAACTAGGCAAGAAAATTAAGGCAGTCAAATTTGATTTTGGTGGTAAGTACTACAGTAGATTTGATAGATCAGGAGAACAACATCCAGGACTCTTCGTTATCTTCATAAAGGAATGTGGAATCGTCCCACAATACACAATGTCAGGTAAGCCTAACATGAATGGTGTTGCCGAGAGACGAAACAAAACTCTTAAGGACATGGTAAGAAGTATGATTAGTCATTATTCTTTGCTTGAATCGTTTTGGGGAGAAGCACTAAAGACTGCAGTTTATATCCTTAACAGGGTTCCAAGCAAAGTAGTAACCAAAACCCTTTATGAATTATGGACAGGAAAAACATTGATTTTGGTTGTTCTATGACATAAACATTGATTTGTTTATTTTCTGCATAATAAAGAAGATGGATTTACAATTTTATAGTTTTCCTTCTGAATGTGTTAATTTTCTATTTGTAATTTTGCATTATGTTTTGAAAATTACAGATTGATCTCATAAAGAATAAAGCAGGACTAGTTGGAAATAGGCATGTTGGAGATCACATTACATGTAATTTTCATGCCACTAATCCATACTCGATCTATGTCATTGAATATGTTGGTTTGGTGACCATGGAAGGTTTAGTTGCATTTTAAAAGCGACAAAAGCCGCCATGATCTCATGCTAATATAGGAGATGGACCAGATTGTACCTTACGTCTACTAAGGATAAAAAGCATATAGTTGCGCGCCTAAAGAATTATGTATGATATAATTGTTTTAGGAATCATATGTAGCCCAAGTTGGGAGATTGTTAGGAAATTACGTTTCCTAATAATAATTGTGGGCCACATATTTATAACAATTTTATTGACGCTATTTAATTAATTGGGCTAATTAAGTGATTTAATTGTGGAGAGCCTAAATAGTCTCCTAACTGGGTATGGGCTAAATGGGTGGATTCTCAATATTGGCCTAATTAGGTTTAATGTGAGCCTAATTGGAGAGTATAGTCATGCCCCGGGGCAGGAGTTGGTGACGTGGAGGCTCGATTAGGAGTTAAACATTTAATAATTGAAACCAACAGTGAGATATTAAAGAAATCTCCAAACGAGCCCAACTATTTTACCGAAAATAAATTACAAGAACTTCTTAAGAGGCTAAAACTCCCGCCTCTAACATTGTTCAGGGCTACACCCACAGGATTTATCCACAGGATCTTCAATATCGTACATACATGAACATGTAAATAACATTACAGACATCAACCACAGTCTAGAAATCCAAATACCAGAGTTTACGAAATTTTACAATTCCTACATTTATACACCAGGAGGATGGACACAGTTCTCTCTTAATCGGGTGGTGGCAACTCAACTATTCCACACTGCTCCTAGAGTCGCCTGGGAGGGGTTTAACATTTATGAAACAATAAAACGTGAGCGAAAGGCCTAGTAGGATATGTTTTGGAATAACTTTATAAATAAGTAAATAAGCAAATAATAATAAATGAATAAATATAGACATTTAGTTCCAACACAACAGCCGAAACCTCACATCCTTTTTCTCAAAGGAAATATAACTGAAAATCTCCGTATTACAGGCATCAACAAGTAATTTATACTATGATAAATTACTTACACAACAAAATGCACAAGCCATATCACCTCGGGTTGGGTTTCGGATGCACTCTCCACATCCTATCTAGGCCATCAGCCGGTTTACCGATTTGCAAGATCTCTTATCTTAAGAAATCATTCATTAAACTTTATGAAACAGTTCATTATACTCCCCATAATCTACAACAAGTCATGGGGGTAAAAATGTTTTTCTTTCGCAAATATGCCCTTTCTTTAAAACATTTGCAAGGCCAAAATCCTTTTGAAAACAGGCTCACCAAGGAAAGGGTAAGAAATCCTACCTCGTAAATATCAAACCTGTGGCTAGCATTACTCTATTCCGACTTTCGCTTCCTTAAGCCCCTCAATCCGAGTCCTCAGCTAGCACTGATACAAAACCACGCTTTAGGATCCAATTCACATTCATAAAGCAATTTCATTCTCAATTATATCCTTTGATTTCCTATTAGTGTACCATAATTCAATTACCGGTTTCACAAACCATTTCATGTTTTAAATTATCATTCCAAGGGTTTTCAATCTCAAAACATGGATTAAAGATTCTAATCCATCTACTCTAGATCCCCAAATGAAGCTAATTTGGGTTCTCCTCAAAAACTGAGGTCAAAATAGCATTTTCAGGCAAAACAAGGTCAAACCCCATGTACACCGGTCGACCGGTGACAGCGCAGTGCAACACCACCGGTCGACCGGTGGTGTGAAATTCGGCCGACCGCACAGGTCGACCTGATGTAGTGCAGACTGGTCGACCGCATAGGTCGACTGGTGGAATCAGGGCAGGATGGCCAGAAAGGCTGATCCGAAGAAAATCAGTGCAAAAGTGCAATTTCAAGTTCAAATCCAAAATATCTCAAAGGGAAACCACTAGATCCGGGTTCTAGGTACTAAATCAAGTCCAAAGAACCCAAGATCTCTAATTTCTACCATGGTTTTACTCAAAATCCATCAAAATCCATTTCGAACCAAAATAAGTTTTTAAATATGAAAAACTTGAGATTCAAGAGAGGTTTTTTCAGAAATCTTACATCAAATCCTTCTCTTGACGTTGAAAACTTCTTGAAATTCCTCTTTGGTTCGAGATTCGGTTGGTTTGAGACAAAAACGGGAGAGAGAGAGAGAGTGAGAGTGAGAGTGAGAGTTAGAGTGAGAGGACGAGAGAGTGAGAGTGAGAGTGAGAGAGAGTGCTCGGGAAGGAAAAAGGAAATGGAGGAAAATAAAGAAAAAGAAAAATGGACAGGTGTCAAACATTTAAAATGACAGTCCAGAAATGTGCCCATACACACGTCTGGGTAAAATGTAAATACTGAGAATATTTAAATACCTTAGAATCATTTAAATTTACTCGTCAGAAACATTTACTAAATGATAATCAATTAATTAAACCAGATTAGGCACGCTAATAAATCTTAATTACCTTAATTAATCTCACTTAATTCTTCGGGGTGTTACAAGTATATAAAGAAATTTAGGTTATGGTCCCCAATACGTCAATCATTCAGCCGTTTTCTCTCATTCCCATCTAGAGAGAGAACACACCGTTCAAGAATCTGGTGATTTGACTGAGGAAGACGATAACTCTATGTGCTCGTTATCTTAAAGATTTCTACTGGAGATTAAGGCTGCACTAATGGAGACATGTATTTGTTCTAACCTATTTTCTTAGTAATTTGGTGTGATGATTCTAAAAATATGGAATAAGGATTAAAGACCAACATTAGTATTATTAGACTATTAGTCATAAGACTATTAATGTTTTGTTTAATTATTAAATTGTATGGGATGAGATCGTGAGCGGGACAATTAAGAAGCAATCATATTTGAGAGAGATAAGAAAGGCAGATATATGACCATATGTCAAAAGTCGTACACAAACTTTTACATTTGGTGAAGTAATCATCGCCTAACAAGAACAAGTTATATGTGAAGTGAAATAACCACATTGGTATATAATCACGTTTGGGGCTGTTAGAGCAATTTTTCTGTCCTTTTTTTTTTTTTTTTTGCTTTACCACTTATTCCCTTTTCAACTAGTAAAAGAACTACTGGCCTGTTTGGTAGCATTTTCATTTTCGTTTTTCACATTTTTCGATGCAAAAAATTAAAAACGGAGATAAAAAACGTGTTTGGCAAAATTTGTGTCAGAAAACAAAAACGAAAATGGCTTTGTCGTTTTCCGGAATTTTGAAAACGGAAAAAAGCCGTTTTCGTTTTCTTGTTTTCATTTTCGGTTTCTTCTTCTTCTTTCTTCCTCGATCATCCTCCCGTTTCTGCTTCTTCCGATTTTTTCTTCCCCTTCAGCCGAGCTCTTCTTCCTCCTTCCCTTCCGTTCTTCAGCCGAGATCTTCTTCCCGGCCGAGCCCCGGCGTTCTTCTCGCCCAAGAGTCGCGCCGTTTGCTTCTCACCGGAGCACCTCCGTTCGCCTGAGCTCCTCCGGTCTCTTGTTGCCCAATCTGCGCCGTTCTCTGTTTTCTCACCGAGGTATGCCCCTAGCTAAAAATATTTGAACTTGTTTGATTTTTCCGATCGATTTGGTCGAGCAATTTTTTTTTTTATTTTTTTATTTTTCTTTTCCGGTTGTCTCGCCGTTTGATTTGCTTATTCAACCAAATCGGTTGCTGTTTTCTGTTTGATTTGGTGTTTATTTTCTATCCTATGCTTGATCTGATCTGGTTTTTTTCCATTTTTTTTCTTTTTCCCCTGGAGGCCCCCGTTGGGGCTGAATTAGCCCCTGGGGGCCTCCCTTTGGGGCTGGCCTGGGAGGCCCCCAATGGGGGCTGATAATCAGCCCCCATCAGCCCTGATGGGGGCTGATTGTCAGCCCTGATGGGGGCTGAATATCAGCCCCCATCAGCCCCCAATGGTCTGTGTGTGTATATACTTTAGACAATATGATCCCCTATTTAGACAATATGAGGTCGATTTGCCCGTAGAAGATATTGAGGGAGAGGGAGAACAAGAAGGGCAACAGGAACAACAACATGGTATGGATGCACAAGAAGCAGAAACATCTGAAATGGATGGTCGGCAACAACGTAATTACATGGTTGATTTTAGGGATCATCTAGCTAATCAAATGTGGGATTCGTATAGGCGACAATAATTTAAGCTAATATATTGTAATTTCCATATTTTATTAATTATTTTATTAATTATTAGTGTTTTTATTTAGGATTCAATTATTATTTATTTAATATATTAAATACCTATTACATGTTTTCAAAAATGAAACCAAACGCATTTTTAGTTTTTTTTAAAACTGAAATCAATCTCTAAATAAAACTACCAAACACATTTTCAGAAATAATTCAAAAATGAAAATGAAAACGTTTTCATTTTCATTTTCGTACAGAAAACAAAAACGTTTTGGAACCAATTCCAAACGCACCCTACATTTCAATCATTTGGAAAATAGGAAGAAAAAAAAAGTAACTATTGCCACGTAAGCAAGGGAGGGATAGATAGGGGGGAAAAGTGCAAGGCATGAAATGGAATAAAGACAAAATACAAAACCCAACAAAATATCTTTCATTCATTCATTCTTCAAAGTTGAAAGGATTAGGCAAAAGTGGTGATTGTGTGGAAGGAAGCGAAGAAGCTTTCTTTTTTTTTTTTTAATTTGAATTTCTTCTGAGTCTTCAGTCTGGTCTCATGGCATTAGCTTCTTCTTCTTCATCACTTCTCTCCTTAACTCTTCCCAAAAAATTAGTACCAAACTCATTAACAACTGCAGTAAAGGCTTCAACGACAACAAGTACACCTCCAGCTCCAGAGAAAGAGAAACTAGAGAGCTTGAACGACAGATTCAGCAGG